GAGAGAGAGAGAGAGCGAAAGAGGGAGAGGAAGGGAGGAAGGGAAAGAGAGAGAGAGAGAGAAAAATGCAAGGATATATATGGCAGTATGAAATTCTCTCTCAATCGGCCCGGTTTATTTAATTCAATTAAAATTCTTATTAAGTTCAAACATCATTCATGGAGCTGTGCCTGATCAATGCAATTTGTGATTTGTGTATACCACGGGGGGGGGGGGGGGCCACATTTACAATTGGGACCAATGCGTTGGCCGATTTTGGTCCGGATTTACGATTTGCGATCATAGACGCGCGCGCGCGCGCACGCACATATACTCGCGCGCGGGATTATGCGTTTCCACCGCGCGGTTGATCCTGGGAGAAATACATTTTGATCCCCGAATAATTTCCCGCTATATCGGTCGTATCGCGGGCGTCCTGTTTTTCACTTGGGAAAAGCAAGTTCGGTAATGGAATAAAAGCAATTGGAGACATTCGCAGGGTCGGACGAGTAGTCGCGGCGCAAAAGAGTGTGTATCGTGTAACTCTATGTTTTAATGGCGGATCGTGTTCCGACCTGTTTTGCCTCGCGCTTGAGCCACGTTTCAGAAAACCGACTACGGCGCGCAATTTTAGGGTGTGCGCGAGCGCGTAAAAAGTGTTATTTTTAGAAGGCGCGTTTTTTTCACGATCGACGTTGCATGTCGGTCACTCGATACGCGATTGAAGGATCAGCTTTGCAAAATTGCATTTCCGTCGCGTTTGTTGATAGGAAAATCGCTAACGAGCTGGAAACAGCTGTCGAACAAAATATTCCCCTGTGGGGATCGCGGAAGCGATGACGTAACGAAGTGGCGCGGCTTTTATTAACTCACCGAGGATTCCTCGATGCTCCTTTTATACGTGCGTGCCTGTGAGTAACTGTTGCTATCCCTCTCTCTCGTTTTTTTTACTACTGGGATATTGCTTGCTTTAAAATTTATAGAATAACTCAATTGATGACATTTCTATATCCTAAGAGTGACATTATTATTTATGATAAATAAAAATTAGAACGTAACAGAGTACGAGAGTGACTTGAAAAGTTTCCGACGAAAGTCGCCATTAAAAAATATATATTTATTATGAAAATTCAAACAAAATAGCTTATTTTCCTACATTATAACGATGTTTTTGACATGCTTCTAGTTGCGATGCCTCACTGGATAATTTTCCAGCTAGAAGATTTTTTTTTTCCCTTTTCGAGAAAAAGTTGCCGGACGTTGCTGGAAGTGAGTTGAACAACATGATAATTATATAGCAAAATAAGCTAGCGTTTAAATGTATTATAATAAATCCATATTTTTTAATAACTACTTTCCGGCGATTTCTCGACTACGTCGTAGAAATTGGTTGGTTTGTACCGAATATCATATGTATCGCAGTTGAAAGGCACATCCAGCAGCATTCAACAGCATTCAGCAACATCCTGCGTCTCGACGGAGCTTACGGAGAGCACACGTTATAACGTCGTATAATATAGTTGTAATTTCCCGTATCCCGTTGCCGTTTTACGCACCGGCAAACGTTACATCACGGCGCGATAATGCAGGAAACTGCGGCGAGATGTTGCTCGGGCCCCACGGCGAAATCCAAGTTACGCTTTACAGCACGAGCGATAATGGATGTGGCGAAGGGACGTGTAAGGGTTACGTCAGGTTCCGCCATACTAACTGCTGACTGATTAATCCGCTTGGAATCGATCGTAGGAATCGGATTGCTAGGTTCGTTTCGCCGCTTATAGACAGGTTTCTCTCCGTAACATTTGGGTCTTTACTACTGCAGTTGAATTAACACCGTTCACTTCTAATGTCCCGCAGAAACGAATCATCTAAATTGGATTCATCCAGCAGATAAACGCGCAATTTGAGGCTCACGCAATTTGAGCGCCGGCGGAGCATTCAAAATAAAGGCTTTACACTTATGTTTATTTAGATACGCGTGAAAAGTATAACGCTATATATATTTATCAGGATAAAACAAAGCTCGGTCGCGGCATCCGGATACTTTGCCCAAACTTAACCGTAGTAATCGTGGGTTGAAACGTCCCGTTGGATTACGGCGACTTCGAGGGATAAGCCGCCGCCGTTGCCGCCGCCGCCGCCGTCACCGCCGTCGGGAATTTTTCTCCCGCGTGAAACTTTGGCGCGCAAAGCCGTAAGTCGTTACGCGTGAGCATGTAAAAAGGTCGGAACTTATGCTACACTTACCCGTGCCACCCCGGCGAGATGGCTGACTTCGTAAGCCGTGATTTACTGCCGGACGTTGGATGATGTTTGGACCAATGCGCCGCTCCGGCTGCATTAGTTAAAGTGTCCGGGAATTTATTGTCGGAAGCAAACTCTCGCCGTAAGAAGAGAAATATGTATGCGACGTCCACGTTTTCGTTTATTAGTTGCGTAAGTTGCACGATGCTTCGGCGAAAGTGCGGAAAAGTTAAAAAGTCCCGATTCAACCGTGCGAGACATTTGAAATATAAATTGATGTAATTATTAAATTATTCCCATTTTAATTAACGCATTTACATTAAGTATTTCTAAAAGGAGAAGGATAATTTTCCACTTTCATTTAAATAATAACAATGTATATGCTAATACATTTCCGCTATTCAAATATAATACTGGTGCGCTATTCAGAGAGGAATAATATCCTGTTCGCGCGCAGACAATGTTACAAACCGATTTCACCGAAAGTTATCAAACTCGAGCATCGACGGGGCGTCAGCGACGTTACGCGCGACGTTTTCCCCACTCCGCCCCGCCCGATGTCTATCTTGTGTGAACGGCGCGACTCTCTGATTCTAATTAACCGAGATAAGACGCCGTTAATCCGGGTCTCGCAGAAATCGCCCAGCGGGCACGAGATTTACCAGCGGCGGGACGAATCTCGCGACGCTTATTATTCTGGATCCCCGGGACTTCATCGTCGAGGGCGAAATTTAAGCGTCGTAACGGCGTTTCGCTCCGGTAACAGCCGGTAAGGGAAAACCGCCCCGCGCTAAACACACACACACGAACGCGCGAGAGCGCCTCAGCACGCACGCACACTCGGGTGAGGAATTTCCCCTCCGAGGGACCCGTAACTAAGGCATTAGGACCTTTTTTCCAACAGCGAGAGGATTAACGCTGCTTAAAGCTGCAACAGCCAGGCGAAGAACTGCGAGAGAAACTTCTTGAAGAGCTTGAAGTAAAAAGAGAAGAAACGCGATGTGTCTCGACGAAAACAACAATCGAGTTTAACTCCTCCAGTCTGTTAGGAAAAATCTTACTAACGACTTTGTCCCTCGAGACCCTACGTATACATTATCGTGTAGAACTCTCTCGCTCGACACGAGGCCGTGACTTTACGTAATTTATCGCGATATTTCCGTTCGACTTCGCGGAATAGGCAATTCCGGCCCGGCGAAGCAAAAGTCCGACGTTCATTAGCTCGAAATCATGCCTCATTGTCATGGAAAATCTTTTCTTTCTTACATCTTCAACCTTCTTTCCCTCTTCTTTTGCCTCTTCTCTTTTTCTCTTACGGTTCACAGTAATTCGTTAATTCAGAATTGTCTCTTTGAAGCTGCTTAAATGCCAGGTCAGGCGGCGCATCGATATTATCTCCGGGATAAAAAGGATTCCCGAGCTTTCACGGCTGCGGAACGGTGATGAGAAGTTAGGGAAGGGGAATAGGCGGCGCGCGCGGGATTGGTTTCTTCTACTTAAATCTTCAGCCGTGAGACAAAACTCGCGGATTCCTCAAGATCTCTTCGCTTTGAGTTTGACCCAACCCCGAAACTTTGTTCGCGCTCTCGTCGCGGCGGCGCTCGGTGGAGCGGCGGACTTTCCGGTCGAAGAAGCCACGTCCGCCGCGAGTGTGTCGGCGCGCTGAGCTCGCCACCGAAAAGCCTTGCCTTGCCGCCGTTGCGCCGCGCCGAGAGAAAAAGCGTGGATCGCGCGACGCTTTTCCGCGAAATGCGACGGAGAGGTAGATATATCGACGAAGATTACGCGGCGCTCTCGAACGGCCCAGCCGTGATGCAAAGATCATGAGGCAGATACGAATGGATACGCTCTCGGGTTCTCGCCGTATCTTCTCGCCCGAACGCCAGAATGTCGGGAAAAAAGTATTCCCATCAAAATTATCGTCTTTTTACACCCTTCCGCGGACGCTCTACGTACCTGGGAAGCGTCGAGAGAAGGATCTGTGCCATAATCGAGAAAAGAGGACAATTCGTCTCCGAGAAAGTGGGAGAGAGAGAGAGAGAGAGAGAGAGAACACGAGGATACGATCATCGAGCGGGACGGTGAACGTGGAGGACGTTACGTTTCCGACGAGCGCGAGCTCCGAAGGGAACGTCGATAGAGCGTAATTTTATTGCCGAAGTTACCTTCCCGACGGTGGCACCAAAGTTCACTCTCGCGAACATAAAGGAAGCTGGATACAACACAATTGGAAACTGTCTGCCGCGAAACGGCGGCCGCCGACGATCCTTGCGCCCGTATTCCTTGCACCCCTTCCTCCCTCGTCCCGAAAAAAGAAGAAAAAAAGAGAGAGAAGATTGGTCGTAAACGCCGGTTAACTTTTGCATTGGTATTTAAGTTGGTATTTCCGCGCTTAAACACGCTTTTTGTCGCTATTTTTTTAACCCGACAAAAGCGTAATTTGTTGTTTCTGACTGTCGTGAATTGTCGCATTGTTTGTTTAATAAATATGAAAATTCAATGCGCGTGTCGTCGCAAGATCGAAAACGGAATATAATAACGCAAACTGCGAATACAAAGATATCTATATATAAAAGAATGTTAGAATATTTAAAGGATAAAAGCTCGTTTCGTAAAACAAGAGATGCTTCACAAAGAATATAAGATTATATAAAGGAATATAAAATTACTTGTATTCTAACGATATCCTTCTAATTTATTCTTTGTGGTTATTTTGAATATTTATCAATATAAATATATATTATAGCAGTATTTTAATCATATATATATATACAATTTTTATTACAAATATTTAATAATATATATATCAACGAGATTTGAGAAGATTAACCGAAGAAATCGTAGCGAAATGCGATTGTCGTCGCGCGACTTTTACGGGGCTCACTTTTCCAGCCGCTTTTCGAAACTTTCGACAAGAGAAAAAACATTTCTCTGCGAGCGGAAACTTTCCAGCGAGAGTCGTGCGTAACGCATTTTACGTGACGCGAGTGCCATGAATAACGCTCTTTTGCGCAGCAAGAAATTTGCGAGTTGAACGGTACGTCGAAGGTTTCACATTTCCATGGCGAGTTCTGAGCAACCAGGGCTGCGAAACCAGTAGGTAATTTCATTATCGAACTTCTCGCCTCTCTTTTACGCCGAAGTTTGGGATCTCTTAAGCTTCGTAGCAAACGCGAAGTAACGCAGATTGAAAGCTATCGCTGCTTCGAGCAGACGAAAGTTGTTAGATAATAGAGAGTGTTAATTTCCGGATACGACAGAAAAATCCTATAGACGAGGCTTGTAATAATGTAACAAGTGTTATGCTGTTGCAGTAACACACTTTTACGCAATAATTCCTGGTTGCATTACATTACATAATTTTCTATTCATTATCTTTATTAAAATATTTATTTTAAATTCTTATTCAACGCGGTAATATTTCACTATTTTTGCCTAGTTCAAAATTCGTGGGATTAAGCGCGTATAATTATCAATTAACTCTTAAACGAGGCGCACGTATAATTCTTCTCTTTTTTCTCCCCCTACCTTTCGCGGTGTGTCGGACTTTTTTCTCCCTCCGTGTAAGCCGACACCTCATTAACATTCTTATTATGCCGCGTTAATTATGACTCCGCATTTGCAAAAGTACGCACTAGCGGAAACTCAGTGTTGCGTTTTTTCACGCGTGGTCCACAAATCGCAAATCGTGCAAACGATGTTTGTGTGCAGATTAAAGTGTATTCGCAAATAGTAGAAACAAAAAAATTAAAAAACCGCACCACAAATTGCATTGTTACAAATGAATAGGTATACTTTTTTTCACTATTGTTTCTAACGTCTAGATTTTCCCTTTTTATTCAAAAATGAATATTTGTGCAATAACAAAATTATTTTTTAATATACTCGAACAGATTATTTGATATGACGGTTTATTGAACAATTAATATTTTTTATACTCTTTTCCTTTTATACCAGCAATGTTGTGGTAACTTCTATCAATTCCAGAAATTTTCTGCACAAATTTTCCACATTGTTCAATAATATTTGGATAGCAGTAAAACCAATCGGTAGTTTCCTTTAATTTAGTTATTCCGATAATAAATAGCAGAGGGGTTAGTTTAAATATGTCAAATTAATATCCATTTATCTCTATCGGAGTCTGTTATGCGTTGACTCGTGTTGAAAAAGTGATCATTTCCGGCATTACGCCGCGGTGAATATTTATCGGTTAATTAAGATCGTTTAAATGAGTATCGCATTTAATTCCAGGTAGATTTTTTCGCAAATGTAGCTCTTTCAATTTTCTTATTAAAATCATTTAAAATTATTTCATATTTCTAGCAAAATAAATAACGAATGTTATATTTTATTATTGTATTTTGGAAAAAAAGGAAAGAAAAAGAGGAGAGATGGATGGATAATTTGGTTAAACAAAAGTACGAGCGACGTGCAAACAAATCGATAAAATGATAAGGATAATCATGGACGATTTATGCATATTATCCTTATCCGACATCGACGTGGAACGCGAACATGAATTGCGGCGAGCAGATGATAGATTACGACTGTTTAAATGGCCAGTGTAATCATTGACTTGTCTATCGCGATCGTAGATCATCGCCGCACGTCGATGGTGGGAATATAATGATGAGCGAATGTACATAACACTCGTGCTGACTCACGCGAAGAATGAAGAGTGTTCGAAAATTATTGCCGTTTTTTTCCCTCAGCATTTCCGCGCGATCAAATTGAAATTAACATCTCCACAATAAACATATAATTTTTAACTATAATTTTACTATTTCAATAGCGAATAAATCTTAATAAATCTGGTTGAGGAAATTTAGGAATGAGAAGAATGTGAGATAATTTTCGGACATTCTGTAATAAAATAGCGCTGAATACGCAATATGGTTGTCTTCCGAAATTCTAAGGCAACATGCGCGCCGGGTTGCTGCGTCCTGATGAATAGCGCCGCAAACACGGACGAATTTTGCCGGCGACATTTATAATTTATGCGAGCAGAAGATGGGGGTGCCTAAGCCATTTAGTACACAGCGAGAAACACACTAGATAATTTAGTATTAACGAGTGATCGTCATTAAGGGAGGTAATTATGAAGGACATTAAGAGGAAAAATTTGTTATCGCATTTAAGATAAACTGTTAAGGGAAAATAGAGTTACCGAAAGGGCAAATCCCGGAGGATTATTTAACTTAATGCTTCTGCGTTATATGAAAAAAAAAATATTAATAAAAAAATAAAAGGGAACGAGAACTTTCAGAAATCTCTTCTATAAGGAAACGACTCGAATTACTTGAGGTAACTCGAGAATATTAGAGCGGCTCGTTTGTTTGCGAAGTAAACGTCGGTTCGACACTGAGACTGATATGGCGGTATTATAACGCACACAATGAGAACGAGCAGCTTTTGCCCGCAAACAACGGGGAAAAACTTGGACAGAGGAATGAAAATAATTTGAAACCAGAAATTTACAACTGACCGACGTAACCATTCCGGACGAAACCGCGGAGAATGAGAGACAGTAAGCAAACTATTTATTGTACTGAGACACAACTATTATTATCAAAGCGAGTGCTACACTGCTAAAGTAAGATAAGTGTAAAATTAATAAAGATACGACTGTACAATTTAACAGAAACTTTATTCGCGATATGTGAACATTTAACATTATACGCTGCATATAAGTCAAAAATGGAAAAATTGCTACGTTAAATAACGGAAGAGAATAAAAAGAACGAAAAACGAAAAAAGTGAAAAAGACAAAAACGGAAAGAGAGAATTGTGAATTCGGTATTGTCGAAATTTTTCGCGAATTGCCGCCTCGATTACGTGCAAAATTTCTGCTCGATTGTTGCGCGATTTGCGCGGATATGCGTGCGGCGAGTCCGCGAATTCCAGGTGAGAAATTTCGAAGGACAGCTGTGTGCTTCCACGTGTTCATACACAACATGTCACGCGTATGGGAACACCTATATATTCCTAACTGCCCTGCAACATTGGTAAAACAACAGACAAAAATTCCAGGTATTCAGAGATTAATGCATGAAAAAGTTATGCAAAAATAATATTTAAAGACTATAATAAAATTTACATTAATTTTCCCTTATAATAAAAATATTTCATTAAAACAGCATTTTATTAGAACATTAAATTTCATTTGACGAAAAATTATTACTTAAATAGCGTTTTATTTAACCGAATGAAGTAAAATAAAAATTGTAAATATATTTTGATAAAATACATTTTGCGATCCCTCAGTTCTCGTCGGCATGCACTTTTATCTTTTTTTGAACGGATCTCAACCGTTAACATAATATTTTGCGCAAGGATCATCGGGATGCAAACGATCGCTATAGCGATATAATCGATTCACTCGCAAGTTGGCACGGTCATGAGTACATATAGGTTGGACGTGTATGCGGTGTGCGCGCAGAATGAAAACCTGTGATGTTTAAGCGAAACTAATATTAGAGCGATTGCAGCCGCGCAGTTAATAGAACGTCGGTTCCATCCCTTCAGATAATGAAGCACAGCTAGAGCCAAGCGCCAACAGTGTGGCGTCGATTGCATCATCGGGATTGTTCGGACGAGAAATTACCTCATCGCGAATTCGCCAAATATTCATTTAATTCTGAGCGAATGATGCTCCAAAGCGCTACTATCTTGAGCTACGCAAATCTGTCGAAATTGACGACTTGACATTAAACAGTCTCCTTAAGTAGATTAATAAAAGAAATTATTACTTATATTCTTTTCACTTGTAATTTCTTAACGCATACACAATTCCGATTTCACATCCTTGGATTTTTAAATTTTTAATAAAAATATTAATTTATATTATTCTATAAAAATTGAAAGATCTAAGAATGCGGAATTAAAATTGTGTGCACGCAAAGAATTAGAAAATGAGGAGAGCCAGTAATCTTCTTTTGTGAATCTGTTCTCCATCTGTCGATTCGTTCTTCGAAAGATCATTTTATCTATAAAGGATTAAAAGAATCGTATAAAAGTAGATGAAAACTATCTAGACGAATTGAGCGCGTCTCTAAAATCAGATTCATAGGAAATTTCGCCGAGAGCTCGGAGAGATCAGCATCAAATAGCCGAAACGCCGATAGCTTTCGGCGACGTGACGTCGCTTCGAACGAAAATCGACGAGTCCTGATTTCTCTCGTCCGAATTATATTGAGGGATACAATCAAAACCAGGACTCGCGAACCCCCCGGGGGCTTCTTCATTATTCGCGGACATTGAAGCCGGGGAAGGGAGCGCGGGGAGGGAGAAATCCCTCTTCGCTCGTGTCCGCTGTTTGCGCAACAATCAAGCTAACCAAATTATCCTGATCACATCGGGCGCGCGTTCAAACACGTACCACCCCTCCGACCCTTTTCTACTTCGCGCATCTCTCCCCGTTCCACATCTGTAATTGATTGAATTTTATTTGCACGATTCAGCGCTGATACCGATAAAAAATGAAGGATAAGACGTGCTCGACCTCCTTCCGTCCCTTCGTCGAGGACACTCTCAAGAGAGGTGCTTTAGTCCGCTTTCGACCGCGACGGCTGACCGTAAAGATGTGTTTATCCTGTCGGTGTTAAGTGGCAGCAGACAGGCTAACGCGAAAGTGAGAGAAGGAATTATTTCACTTTATTTTTAGCCTCTTGATTTACCGATCTCTTTATCCCTGATACGTCGTCGGATTTCCCGCTGTGCTGAACTGCCGAGTTTCACGACCTTTTAATTTCTCTTCGCATTCTCGAGTCCTCGGATTTTATTTACGCGTCCCAGATATGAAATCTGGCCCGTGGAAGTTGCGAAAGTTGACGAAGGTCGCGCGAAATGCGGCCATGAGGATCAAGCCGCGTGGGAAAAAGATTCGAGTCAAGCGGTTTAACATAATCCTGCAAGCGCTACACTACTTTTGTACGCAAACGAGTCTTCACGGTCTCCGATACGTCGTCGATCCCGATTTACACGGGATCGAACGATTTCTGTGGCTCGTCTTGTTTGTCATATTCTGCTCAACCGCCAGCAAGGTGATTGTACAACTGGCGGACAGATTCCAGGTAAGCCATCAATGGAAGGAATGACGATTATTCCGCATTGCACACATAATCTCTCAAAGATGCGGATTAATTAATTATTCACATTGAGCTCACTTGTGATATTGAACATTAGTGGTATCAAGATTATCATGACTTTTAGCGAATTTAAGAATTGGTTCTAAATAAAGAATTTGTGCGAATTTATTGAACTGTTCGAATACTTCGAAAAGAAAACATTTAAATTTGAATCTGAATAATTATCGTTACATTTGTGCAATTGATTACAATTCCTAAAGATTTGATTATTTTAATAGCGTAAAAAAGATAGAACAAAAAAATTTGAATAAATATATTTTTTATTCATTTGTCTATTTGACAAAAATTTTTAATAAATATAATATTTATTTATTTAATTATATTTATACATATATATATATATATATATATATATAAATAGAGATAACTAGTTTTTGTTTTTTCCTATCTCGCGGTACATTGCCTAACTTTGCTGATTTACTCAAATTTACGTTCAAACTATTCGGACATGTATGCCAAACTTACAGCTTCCAGAGATCCAAACAATTTAAGATTCAAGTAGAAAGTTCGACCTGTTTGACTATTGAAAAATTCCGTGCATTACTTTAGAGTACGGTATCGACATACCGTATAAATTTGTTTAGGACGCGCCAACGTCGATCAACATCGAGTCAATGAGTTACGAGACTTCGAACTTGCCCTTTCCGAGTGTGACCCTTTGCCCGAACGATCGTGTCGACTGGAATCGGGCCCTCGAACTCGAATCAAGAATTCTTCCTAACGATGCGAAACAAGCAGATCTGAAAACTTTTCGAAAGATACTGGGCAGGCTTTCCATGATGAGCTTTGGCGATTTCGACGAACTAACATTTTTGAAGAATCAAAATGTTAGCATTTTTTCGGGTAGGACATTCTATTCCCTCTTACGCTTTTTCAAATGGCTTATAACAATGTCTCTTGTTTAAATCTATTTATTTATCAAATTTTTTATCTACAAAAGAGCAAAAAATAAGCAGATAAAGATAAAAAAAAATATAAAATGTAGTAAAATCGATTGATGAATATCAATTAAATCAATATTATTCTAAGCATTTTAAATATATTTTGTGCTTTTTCTGCGAAAGATAACAGATGATTGTTACCGAACAGATATCAATATAACCGAAGTATTGCGCGAAGTGATGCCGCGCTGCGATGATTTGCTGTCTGAATGCTGGTGGCGGAACGGCGATCGCAATTGCTGCGAGATCTTTGAGGTGCAGAAGACTGAATACGGCTTCTGCTACTCATTCAATTCGGAATTGTCGCAGACGTACAGACCGGATCCGTTGGATTCGCGACCGCGAAAAGCGTCCGGCTACGGCGACTGGAGCGGCGTCAGAGTTACAATTCATCTGGGAAACATAACGAAGCCACCGGATTCTAGTAAGGATTGCCGACACCAGACACCGATGTAATATTCTACGTGGCGGGGCGCAGCGATCTGTTGGCAACACGAAGTTGGTGATATTGAACACAGAGTGAGGCAAAAAGATACCTCGCCGGTATCTCGTTTCTCGCAAAAAAAAGTGCGATCATCTTAAATAAATTGTTCTCGAAATTCGGAACGGTGATCGACCGCCAGTTCGCTTTCCAGTCACGTTCCCGAGTATTGATCTACGTTGTATCATGTTGAAAGATTCAGAGCTTGATCGGTGCGAATTAAAGGGCTCCCGAGAAAATTCGCTTCGATGCGCGAACTTGCCCGGGATGTTAAAAATTCTCTTAATATAACATAAAATAACACAAATTTATATATAACTTACGCGAACGTAGGTAACATTGGGCAAATATTTATTTAACTTACGTTTTACTATTACGTTGCATCGCAACATTTATCGTAGCTTGCGTTAACTATTTGTTTTAATTTGGTATCTTATTTAGGAGCAGATATTAAGGAGCTTTTAAGAAAATTTGTTTCAGACAATTGCAAGATTTGTCGGAGATGTTGAAAATTCTTCCGAAACAGCTTAAAATAATAGAAACTTACACGCAGTTTACAGATACATGAATATTGATGGTTTGCGCAAACATTTATTTTACTTATATTGTTGCGTTACATAACATCTATTATAGTTTGGTATTTTTAAGCAATTTGTATGCATAATTTCAGTTTAGATCACATCATGCATTGTTTATTATCGCATTATCTCAACAAAGGCAGCTAAACGCATTACCTGAACAAACATTTAGCATAAATCCAGGCGGGAGGGGCGCCGGAGGGAGAGAGAGGGGGCAAGAGGAGGGGGTGGAGGGAGGGTGGAATTATATAATGGCAACAAAACGTAAACTCGGGTAAACTGTGCGGTGGATTAATAACTAATATTATTTCCGTCGAGATCCGCTAAATGACAAAGTGTACACCGACGACACATCGTTACTAATCCGCGCCGTTATGCAAACGCGTCGCGGAATCTCGCAAATATGATTTTAATATCCTCGCGAAACCCCGCGCCGGCCGCCACAGGACGCGTTTTGAATAGGAACACGACTCCCATTCCGCCGTAATGCCGCTCCTTTATTACCCCCGCGGAATGGAAAGGGATTTATCGTAAACTGCAAAATCGATGTATCGGCGCCGTATTGCGCGAGGCAGTTATTGAAATGTCGCTTCCAAAGGACCCGCTGCAGAATCCTGCACAAAATCCCTGTACAAATTCTAAGTTGCCCGATCGTATCGGACCGAATCGGCGAATGCAACAATTTTTTTTTTCTTTCCCACAATGGGCCAAAGTTCGAATCTCCGCGCGGGGTCCGAAAAATCGATTAATTTTTGCAATCGATTGCAGCGGAGATCGAAGGCGTCATCGTGATAATAAACGGGCCGAACGTCTGGCCTAACAGCGGCACCATGATACCGGCCGGCTCGATGTCCAGCATGAGCTTGGGGTGCATTTCCGGATACGCGACTGAAGGCGTTCTCGAGCTAGACAGTAGCAGAATTCCGTGCGAATACGACGAGAAAGGAGATTACAACCAGGAGTCGTGCCTGTCGCGATGCAAACGCCACTACGTCAACAAGAAATGTGGCTGCTACCCGTCCTTCTTGTTCGCCACAAGTACGAGCCTGAAATCACGCTGATCGACGCTGACGACAGCACCATTAACGTTTCATTATGTTTCAGCTGCCGGTTTTCGCGAATGCACCATCGAGGATTTCATCTGTTTGAGCGATAATAATGGTGAGCAAGCTTCCGCCGGCTGTCGCCCGCGTGCGAACGTATCGCCGCTAACGTATGTAACTTTCGCCTTAATTATAACTGACCGCGATTAATATAATTTGCTTTCATGAAATTGCGCGGTGATACAACAAGACCTTTTCAACGATTACATCGTTCACTTCGACGACGGGACAAACGACATTTCCAGCATGATTTGCGATTGCTCGCCGGAATGCGACTACTACATCTACAGCACCCAGTTTTCCAACGTGCCGCTACGTAATGTAACCGACGTCATGCTGGACGTGCATTACATGGGGCAAACTAGTTTCCGCTACAAAACGGATATAGTCATCACGCAAATGGACCTTCTCGGTAAGACTTCCTCTGCAATTTTTAAAAATGTTCCTTTTCTGTGCCGAGTGCCTTTCGTATATTTTTAGTATATAAAATAACATGATAAATAAACTTCCGCGATGAAACCGCAGACGTACTATTTCTATTTCATGTCAATTGCTAATTTCTTGTCAATTTGCATGAATAAAGTTTAGAAAAACATTTAACTTTATCAGGTAAATAATTTGAAAGAAAGAAGTTACTTATTATGGAACAAAAATATCCCGTCTCTCGGTTCTAGAATGTCTAGAAATGTCGCCGTTCTAATATTGAAAATTAGGTCTTCTTTCTTTATTTTAAAGAAGATATCGAATTATACTTATAAAATCTTAAGATTTTTCGCTCCACGAGCATCAGAGAGTTTAATCGTGACCGCGTCGTACTTGTGAAATTTATAGAGACGAGATGAGAGAGAGAGAGAGAGAGAGAGAGGTAAGAGAGCCGGAAACGGAAAAATGCTCGTGAATGCTTTATTCAAACTCGCTTTCGTGGTTTCACGGGGAACTTTAATTTGCGACGCCTTAATTATTTCCCTATCTCTATTAGCCGTGCCCGCGCGGCGGTTCTCTCGCGTAACGAGTCCCGCGAGATACGGTGAATTCACAGCGCTCTCATGCTTCTTACTCAAAATGTTTACGCCCCTTGTTTACGGCTATCTATCTTGAATATTATTCGCGATTTTATCGCAAAGTAGCCGAGTATCTACTCGCGCCCCGAGCACTGTGTATAAAATATTGTCAAGAGTGTGAGTTCAACATCGCGCCGTGGAAATTAAAGCTAACATGCAAATTGCACTTAACCCGACCCGCTCGTCGATTTCCCACATCATCCGCGGAACGTCATTTCGTATCCCATCTCTCCATCATCGAATGTTTTGCCACGATCACCATATTAATAACTCGACCGCTGCGAACGATTTGCATACCTTTTTGCAGTGTCTTTCGGCGGTATAATCGGCTTATTTCTGGGCGGCTCGTTACTCAGCGCCGCCGAAATCGTCTATTATCTGATGGTGGCGATGTTCACGTCCCTGCGCTCGCGGCAGAGGATCAAGAAGAAGCCGCGGCCGAGCTCCGCGACGGTCGTCCGCACGGCGGTGCTGCCCATCCTGGATTATGGTCCGGTGAAACCGCGCGCCAAGCAGATACCGATTTTCGCGAATTACGGCCCCGCGGAATCGAATTTGAACAGATATCGTGTTACCGCCGCGAAGATAACCCCCGTTGAGTCTTTCAACGGGCGAGGCCGCTTTTAGAGAGTCTCTATTATACGGGCCAAGCGGCAGGAAATTTGAGGAGATAAAATAAGAGAACCGGGGGAGATTCGTTCTTACTCCAAACCGATAGTTGTTATGTCAAAATGCGGATGTATTGCGCTCGCGCTGTCTGTGTGCGTGTGTGCTCTCGGCTAATGGAATTCTATTCTTGCCAAGTCCGAGAAACAGAATTTTCGAACAGGGCAACCAGATATTCGCATTCGGCGCTAAACGTCGTGCGAATCGGCGGGGCCGCGCACGTTGTCCGCTAGAATAAACGAGTGCCGTTTTTCATAGACATGTTGGTTATTGTGTTTTACCGTGCGGCTGTCCCCATAAATCAGGAAGTAGCCGCGATATCGATCGGATTTGACAAGGAAATCGAGGATGCCTTGCTCACGAAATCTGGTATCTAGCTCCTAGACATCCATATTCATGTGCAAGAGTGTGCGTGTGCGTGTATGTAGATGCTGCACACGCGCGTGCGCGTGTGTGTGTGTGGGTGCAAGGCAACTCGTATTTTATTCAACGTTATATATGATACGTACCTTCCATCTTGCCATTTTGCGGCCGCGTAACGCTTGACTTCAATAATACACGCCATACATTTTATATGCATCTCAAGCGACTTCCCCGGCTTTTTCCAGAAGACTAGCAAAGTCGAACAATTGCGCAACGAATTTGTGTATTTACGTGTTGAAGTGGTGAAAATAGAAAAATAAATTAGGTACCGCTTAACTTTTCCTCGTAATCCTTGGCTTGCATCTAAAATATTCAATCTTCTTGCTCTTTATATCTTCTTTTCGTAGAAGAGTGTTGTATAAATGATTCACAAACACGATTAAAATTTAAATTGTAAAATACAATGATATGAGATCTGCAAACATAATTTTTGAATAATTTTATGCATTACTCAGCTTATTGTGACTGAAATATAAATTTCTATTATAAATAAGATTGAACTGATTTTCCTCAATGATGGCTAATGCATAGTAAAATACCACAAATGTCATATATGTTTTGAGTGCAAAATACCAGAGCAATATGAATCAATTAAATATTTCATTATATTTTAATGAAATATTGAAAGCACGGACTAAAAACAAATTTTCAATTAATTTACAGTTAAATATCAGCACGAACGCAGCTGAAAGACGTGAATAGATTTATTGTAACAAATGTGATAAATATGATAAATGTGACAAATAATGTGGTAAGCGAGTAATAATAAATAAAAAAGAGAATGAATGTATAATTACGTATTTCGCAAGTATTTATATGAGAATTAACGCGTTTATGAGAATTGTAAGCGATACTTTCTTCTATAACGTTAAATATTTTAATCTTTCGATGTCCAGTCCTCTTTCTCTCCTTTCTCGTTTTGAACAGCCGTCGCTCTTTACATCGTTTCCCATTTTGCACGGTTTACTATGTACTTATCATCATTTTGCATTTAGACTTCTCGTCTGGTTAGACTTCGTAACAATGATATTACTGTCGCCCTGCCCTTTGCACGTACATTTATTTACTTATATATTCAGAGATTTATCTTTAGTTCTGACATTTGCAATTTATCTTACTCTCGCAAAATACAATTATTATTATA